TCCGTGTCAAGTAAACAATTTCGATTTTGAACCCCATTATTAAAATATAGTATATCATAATTGTTATAGACCACCAATTACGAGACCAACAACGAAATACGTACCTAAAGTAACCGATTACATAGACAATAGGGGAGGTGAGAACAATGAATGCGAGCCGATCCCGGCTAGCCTTACAGCGCCTAAAATCGGCAGGAAGGCTTTTGATAGTAAGTATATATATATTTTTTCTTTCTATTTATTTATTTATTTCAGGCTACATGAGCCATAAAATATATACTTAAGGACTAACATACATAAAATATAATAAAATACTATTTCTAACTAATCTACACGAATTGCAGTTGTCGGTGACGTGTAACGCAATCTGGTATCAGGTAACCGGCCGCGTAATCGCCGATATATGACACCCTTTGGCCACAATTCTTTCTTCATGAAGGCCGACAGATGTTCGGTCGGTACCCTCACCACAAACGAATTGAAATTCACGTTGTGACGGGACTCCAACCGCTCGACCCTCAGGTTGCATTTGACTTTATGTCTGATGTACTCCACTATCTCATTAGACTTCGTGGAGTAATGCAATCGCGACAGGTACAGCAGTGTCGTCGGTATGGCCGGACGCAGCAGGAAGCTCGGTCCTGTCGGTGCTGTGCCACACTGGTTACGACCGGTGGGCTTCTTTGTCCTCTTCACCACCTTTGTGAAGCCGTCCTCGTCGCACCGGTCCATCTGCCACTGTGGTTTTACAACTTCAGAGACAGGCACACGGGGATTACTTTTTCCTTAGTAGATACAGTACGAAAGAAAAAAGAAGAACGCTTATTCATTAAATTGATTCACTATACCTACGCACTTATAGCCTTATCAACGACGCTTTCAAGTCGCTCGCAAATCGCCAATGTGATTAAGGCTCTTAAATCTAACACTCAAGAATCAATACTATCTCAACTTGAATCCAATTTTTTTCTGAACTAATACGGTTTATTTTGATTGGGTCGAGTGGCTGGGACACTGGATTTATTTCTGAATTTATTTTTTTACAAACGAAATTATAGCCATTTAAATAATGTATATCGTATAAAATAAGTCCCCAACCCGCATTGGGCCAGCGTGGCGGACTGTGGCCTAAACCCTCACACCACAGCAGTGGGACATATAAATGGGTTGATGATGATGGTAAAAATAATGGTAAAAATAATGGTACCTATTGAATACTGCGTTTTTCTTGTAAAATTTCGAGGTGAGTTCGCGTTTTTTTCTATTGTGAAATTTTTGTTCTAATCGTGTTTTCACACCATATAGTAATCAGTGTATATCCTTAATTCTACTATATATTTTTTTCAAAGAGATTGATTCAACGCTTTCACTGTTATGCGGTATTAATCAAAGCTATTTGAGTGCAATCGCCTATAAATCCCAAGTGTAGAGATGCAATCGCGCGTTTGTATCCATGCAGTCGCGCGCTTGCACCGCGTTTGCATCGCTGCTTAAAATTTCGCGCGTGTGTAACCACTCTAAAACAACAAGTGACAGTAATTTTAAGTTAGTAAGTGTGCATAGTGACAGCAATATGTCTATCTAGAACGAGACAGACTCTGATTTTCAGTCGTCCTGTTTCAACGAAGTAATATCTTATTAGTTAAGAGGGAGCATGCCAAAAAAGTTTTGACATTGGCTCCGCCCAAATTTGTGAAACAAATATATGCCTGAAGTTCGCGTGACATGCGACAGGAGATGTTGAATTTTGCGCATTAAAAGTACCAAATTCGTTTAAGCGGAATAACTCTAAAACTAAAGGGATTAAAAATAATCCGTAGTGACAGTTCTCGATCATGCGTAAATATATTTAATTATCTAATTTTTGTCCTAATAACCTGTAGCATTTCGAGGATAAATCGAAAAAATGTGAAAAATAGAGTTCATTTCGTGATTTTTATCTATCGAGGAAACTTTATCGTTTTATGTTACTGATTAATGTCTATGCTTGAATATATCGTGTAGTTACTCATACAATATTTTATTTTTAACTTTATAGTGGATATACCCCTCTAAAATCAAATCGAAGATTAGGAGTTTTTCCTCTGCTCCCTCTTAAGAGATTGGCAAAACAGATTATAAGGCGAAAGGCAAATTGGTAAGGGCTGACCAAGGCGAACCTACCACCACCGAAAGGAAGGTCAGCTCAGGAGTCATCTTAACCGATGAGCGTGTGTGAAAGCATTAAGGAGAGTCACTAGTGGCGAAACGGGAAAAACTTTCACACGACGAGTTTTAGCAGCGATGCAAACGCGATGCTGTAGCAATGCAGTTGCTTATCGTCTACCTTTACACACGCGCGCCGGTTTTAAGCAGCGATGCAAACGCGGTTCAAACACGCTGCTGCGTCCATACAAACGCGCGATTGCATCGCTACACTTGACTTTTATAGGCGATTGCATCGATGTGTAAGGAAAATGAGACACTCCGTGACATCATGTGAATTGTCATACATATTTTTTCTAACCTAGTGTTGTCCATTACGCCCTTAGGCGATTAACACACTGCACCGCGTTTAAACTGCGCGGGGACAGCGGTCTAGCGGCCCCGCGTCACTTAAAGTAGTCGCTTCGCAGTTGATCCCCGTAGTGATTGTACATGTAGCTGAGATCCTTCTTTGACAAGAATGGTTAATAATACAGAACTCATTCAGGACGCTGTAGTTATATAGTCTATTTGGTTTTTCATTATTCAAACAAAAAGACAGAGAAATCTCTTTGTAGCGCAACGCATAATGACGCACTACTCACTCTACTTATACGAAATTATAATGTATGTTAGAAATAATTTGTCTTCATTTGGTACTGTGAATGTTTCTGGCATCCCACTTCGCCGTGCCGGTCATTTGAGAACAGTCCCTCGACGCATGGCACTTGCAGAGAAAAACCCGCGTGTCATCGGACCTACTTACTATGAGCGTTTACCTGCTACTCTCAGACTTGAACCGTCTGACGAAACATTTAGGCGCCGGCTGAAAGACTTTTTCTTGAAAAATCCTATATACTCTGTAAAAGAATTTATGGACTTTAAATTGTAACGAATTCAGTATTTTCTATTTTTATTCTAATTTTTACCGCATTAACATACTCTTGTATACTTGTTATCAACTTATGACGATCCTTGATGGAGAATGATGTTTGATATATAATTTAATGACAACAATATTATGTAATGAATTGTTAATTTTCTAATTATTCTGTGCTTTTCTTATAATTTTCCTTTTTGTCTGACGATCTCAATATAATTTCTTATACTTTGACATGTAGTGCAATTTATACTGTAATGTTATATTTGAGAAATAAATGCATCTGAATCTGAATTTGAATCAGAGAAGATAACATTCAACCTCATCACAAAGATTTAAGAAAATATGAAGGTTAATTTTTCAACTACACTCGTATGTCAACTGAACCCTTTGATTATTTGTTAGGGAACATCCGAACGACAATTACTGGAATAGACACAAATTGATTAAAAATCTGCGCGGTAGTGCGGAGCGCAGTGTGCCATACCCTGCGGTTCGCCGCGCCCTTCGACGCGGGGGCGAGGTAAATCCGCGTGAGAAGCGTTGTCAGTGTGTTCTACGGCGCGTGTTTTCCATACAAACTGTACTTCTAAGGTACTTCAGTACAACGTCAAAAAATGCAGCTCCGCGCTCCGTCGCTTGGCGCGGTGCAGTGTGATAATCGCCTTACGCACGCGCGCGGTTTGAAGCATCGATGCAAGCGCGCGACTGCATCGCTACACTTGGGTTTTATAGGCAATTGCGTCGATGTGTAAGGAAAAGCGAAACACTCCGTGACATCTTGTGAACTGTCATTTTTTTTTTAACCTAGTCTTGTCCCTTATGCCCTTACATACCCTTTAAAAATTACATTTTTAGTTACTAATTAACAAACAAATTTCAATTTTTACATATTTTATAATATAAACCCATCGAGTATATAACCAGAAATAGAGACGAAATAAGGGCCATACATTCCTGGTAACACATTAGCGATACAGCTCTTATAAATATCAACTCCCGTTTGCACTGAAATATAGACAGGCCAACTACTGACCTGTGTGTACATCTCCGTATATTCCAAAAAGTATTCTGTATTTATTGTAATAAAGATAATATCTCTAACAATGCCGAGCTGTTCTATTCGGTGGTATAGGAAAAACAGCAAAACGTCTAATTACAAAACAAAAGGAATCACATTTCATCGGTAATTAAATATTAAATATGTAATTTTCAATTTTCGGCCATTATAGCAAAGCTCAAGTTAACTGGTCGATTTGAAGTGAAACAGTTGACGACACCCATCAATTGTTTCGAACTCGGGCTGGCCAACCGGAGCGCAGTTGTCACAGTAATGATATGGCAGAATAGTTTTCAAACAAATTAAATGACATTTCGTCTCTATTTCTGGTTATATACTCGATGTATAAACCTTCCATGTTCTATTCAAAATAAAGGTCTTTATTTGTAAGAATTTCGAGACGCTTATTGTTTATTTTACGAATCCTCGAAGTACTTTATATATTCTTTTTTTTTTTTTTTTTTTTTTTTTATTGCGACTCGACAAAATGACTGCACCGCGCCTGATGGAAAGTGCGAATACAGTCCAGAGATGAGAGTAACGGATGGAAAACACAAATATCTTCACTCCGTCACTATCATTTTGCCGGTCTGGCCAAATGCACTGGATGTACACCAACTGATCCCTGAACGCGATTCGCAAAAGCGTTTCACTGTGGAGGGTTTTCCGCCGTGTGTACTGTGGTCGCTATCCAGTCGGCACAGAGCCTACCACAATGCTAAGCAGATGGACACTTGTGACGCCCTCGGTCGCCTCTTACGACCCCCACGGGCATGTATGGGGAGGCGACAATGTATTCTTAAGCCGTCGCCCCACGGCTAAGACAATGTATTCATATATTATTACTATTACTACAATTAATTATTTTTAAACATTTCTTCAATTATGCTTGACACCACATAGTTTAAAAAAATTGGTTGAAATATGGTTGAATATAACTAGAAACTAAAGTATGCATTATTAAAACTAACTAAATTGTAGTGCGTATTGAAATTCAGTCTAAAACTATACTCAATTCATGTAATCGTTGTTATACGTCACGGGTTTCGCTGTGGTGCGGCCTCGTTTTGTTCCCTATATTGTACGGAGGGGGTGGTCTTTGTTTGGCTGGTGGTCACCACTTTCCCTGGTATGTGTGTCGTCATCAGCAGAGTCATCGTCCGGTCCATTAAGCTGAAATAAAGAGAAATTATACCCGAACGTGGTATTTCCAGCTAAACGTAACGTATGACATTTCAATCTCTTGTAGTCCGTTTTATTTTAGAATGTACTTTTGTATTTTTATTAGACAAACATTAGTTATGTCTTACTTTTCACTTTTGCTGTATTCTTTTTTTTAAAATAAGACTCTTTACTCTTTTTTTATAGTTTGCCGCGCGCCATGTAAGGAAAATGAAAGACTCCGTGATATCTTGTGAACTGTCATATTTCTTTTTTCTAACCTAGTGTTGGCCCTTATGCCCTTACAGATGCAATCAAGCATTTCTATTAATGCAATCGCCTATAAATCGCAAGTGTAGCGATGCAATCGCGCTTTTCACGAACGCTTGTTGTTATGGCTTGACTTTCGTGACAAAAGTCTGCCTCGTAGTGCACCATACGAGTGGGTTAATGTTCATTATTACTGTCTAATTTCAGAATGTAAAGAATACCAAGAGGAACATGTATACCCGTGTTCCGAGAACCAGGCCATATTTGGTGGATTGTCCAGAACCAACGAATGTGGACACAGTAGTGATGACCTCATCATTGGTGGAGAGAACTCCACTGTTAGAGAATTCCCGCATATGGTAAGTGGAGAGAGAGAGAAAAAAAAGATACACTGTGTACTTAATAAAAATGTCAAACCTTCACCTGCCCACAATCTGCCATACCCAGTGAGCCCAGTGATCGAAACTTTCTTAGCATCCACTCTTTGTAGTAGCAGTAGAGCTCCTTCTCACCACATTAGCTGCGTTTCGGTTTGGAGGGGTAAGGGTGCTGGTGAAATTATACAGGTAATGGGACTTGTTAATAATGCCAAGTGAAAGGACGGACAATTCCTACGCCTGGTGGTAAGCGACACGCCTGTGCATAACAGTTACTGTGCCACTCAGAGCTTTAAATCGCAAAGAACGGGCACTGCCACTGCGCTCGTCACTCTGAGACATATGTTGACAAGACCCATGTGCCTGTAATTTCACCAGCAACCTTACCCTTCAAAACCGGAACACAGTAATGCTGACATTACTGCTTGGCGGCAGAAACAGGTAAAGTGGTTGTACTTCCCGGGACGATCTCTTTCACAAGGAGCTCTACTACAAAGATCTTGCCACAGGGCTTACACTACGTTTTGCTACAGCGATCGATCACTTCAGCATCGCTTGAATAGATCACCTAATCGATCCATTATTTTTAGGCCCTACTGGGTTTTGGCGACAGGGATAATCTGCAATGGGTATGCGGAGGGTCCGTCATTAGCGAGAATTTCATACTCACGGCTGGACATTGCACTATTGACAATCAGAGGTAAGTAACCATTTTTAAACGACTTCGAAACAGGATGAGGTTGAGGTTCAATAAAATTTGGCAATTTTATGTAATTACAAACACTTTTGAAGTTGGTTTATTTTTTTTTATAAAGAAGTTATAATCACATTGAATTTTCATAGAATAACCTATGAATGCGATGCATTTTTATTCTCTTTTCCAGCCGCAATGTAACTCACGTTCTTCTAGGCGTTTTAAAACGCACAGAAATGCACAAAGCGAAGATATACCGTGTTAAGAAGATCATCAAACATCCGGAGTACAAACCGCCAGTAAAATATAATGATATCGCCTTGTTGGAATTGGAGGTTCCGTGAGTATTTTTTTCTAAAGATTTCAAGTTATTAAGATTTTTCCATTGAGTATATAACAAGAAATAGAAACGAAATGTTATTTAATTTATTTGAAAACTATTGCCCCAAATCATTACTGTTACAATTGCGCTGCGATTGGCCAGCCCGAATTGGAAACAATTGACGGGTGTCGATAATTGTTTCATTTCAAATCGACCAGTTTAACTTGAGCTTTGCTATAATGGACGAAAATTGAAAAATTACATATTTCGAATTTAATTACCGATGACATTTGATTCCGTTTGTTCTGTAATTAGATGTTTTGCTGTTTTCCCCACACCACCGAATGGAACAGCACGCCATTGTTAGAGACATTATCTTTATTACAATAAATACAGAATATTTTTGGAATATATGGAGACGTATACACAGGTCAGTTATTGGCGCTGTAGTATTTTAGTTTTCTAATTAGTATTGTGTAGTATAGTATTTCAGCGCAACCGAGAGTTGATATTTAAAAGTGATATAAGTCCCATTTGCCTGATGAGTTGTCAGGGACGGATGGCCCTTATTTCGTCTCTATTTCTGGTTATATACTCGATGCCTTTTTCTTTCTCTGTTCCTCATTCTGAACTTTGTTACGGCCGATACGCGCCTGGCTGGTCAGAGCAAATATGAATAAAATTACGTGAACAATTCGAGGACTCTGATTGGCCGCGTAGCGTCCGCAGCGCATAATAGGACCGGTACGGTGTGGGAGACGCCGTATCGGTATATTCAATTTCACATTGCGGTGTCCTTGAGAAATAAGTTTAAAGCGATTAAGATTCTTACACTACCGTCACAGTACATTTATGAAAATGTAATTTATGTTAAAGAGAATAGTTTTTTTTTAAGAAAAATTGTGGCAGACATAACATTAACACGAGGAATAAAAATAAACGAGCCTTTCTTAACAGTTGTCTTCACAAATTCAAAAAATCATTTAAGGGGCAATACATATATGCGCTTCTCATATTTAGTGAAACAAAAAACTTTATATCGAGTTCTTAGGTTTTCGCGATTGTTACACATAGGAAATGAAACTATTTTTCCGGATTTAAATCGCGTATATTTGTTTTTTCAAACAAACCGACGTTTCGGGCCCTTTACAGGTCCCATGGTCACGGTTGACTGAGGTGGTACAGTCTTCAAACAATTATGTCTAATATTAATGCAAACCACCTTATTTTTTCACTATAGTTACAATAGTTATTAATTAAATACCTTATTTTTAATTTTACAAAGAAAACATTCCAATTTACGCTATATTAAGTTTTACAAATTATTTTATTGAATGAAAAATATAATTTTTATTAAGTTCAATTTATTATTAATTATTAATAGAAATTAGAATAAACTAAAACATATTAATTAGTGCTGCAGACTGTTTGGGATTTTTCATCAGAGGAAATACTGGATCCCAAACTGGTGGTACGGAGACACCATCTTCCCTGTTGAAATTAGTATATTTTTTAATTTCAATGGCCTCTCGCAGCATCCTTTAAAAAACTTTATTTTAAAAAGTTCAAAAAACTTTATTCTAAAGGCTATTAAAGTGATTTTCTTTTGAGACGAGGCGAGGCGAGAATTGAAATGTCGCCGACCTATTTCCACCAAAAATTGCCATCGCCAGCTCGCGCTAGCGTTATGGATAGTGTTGTTCTAGCGATAAACACGTAGCTAAAGTGCCATGTCCCGCAAAATCTTATTATTAAATATGTTAACGGAAGAAGAATCAGATTATTTCTTCTTACAGTATCTTCATACTGTAAGAAGAAATAATCATGTTGTAATATAAGCTGCTTATCTAAGATAAAATAAATAAAAATAAAAATAAATTTTTCGAAAATAACTTTTTTTATGTAATCTTTTATCCCAGGGCAAATATTACGAACTAGAACCTTTAATAAAATGGTGTCGTGATTACATATTTTTGAAAACAGCACAAGGTATATTTTTTGAAATATCTAATATTTGCATAATTTCTAAAATGTGTGAACGTTTACATTTCAATGCACGCGACTGTATCCCACAATCTCGCGATTGACATTAATAGCCATCGCGAGCACGCGCGATTTCGCGCGATATCGTACGAGACATCGTGAATCGTGTTTCCGTTGCAGAGTTAATAAAGAGTCTATGTAGACAGCAATACGGTTCAATATTACAAAAAACAAATATTTCAAATCTCATCTCGCCCATCCTCATCAATGCCGACCATTTCCACCGAAGATGTGCTAGAAGAGAGTTGATATTTTGCCATGCAAGTTAAAAAATCGTCTCGCCGCGTCTCGTCTCGCCTCGCCGGTGGAAATACACCCTTATACAGCTTCTACGTACTTGGATGAGAAAATTCCGTGGTAGAGACCCGTTTAACTCTAGCAGGTTTTCTCGATCTAAGACGATTGAAATAAACATTGTGAATGATAAATGTATTCAAATGTAAATTTACAAAGAGCAACCCTTAGAGTTTCTTGCTCATTCTTCTCATGGAAATCTGCGTTAAGAATGAGACAGTAGAGTTTAATCAATATGACGGTTTCAAGTGTAATTTGTTTACTTGATTTTTTTAATAATATTTATTGCACAAGAAAAAGCACAGAATACATTAAAAAAATATACATTATACTTAGGAAATGAAACTATTTTTCCGGATTTAAATCGCGTATATTTGTTTTTTCAAACAAACCGTGACCATGGGATCTGTAAAGGGCCCGAAACGTCGGTTTCTTTGAAAAAACAAATATACGCGATTTAAATCCGGAAAAATAGTTTCATTTCCTATGTGTAACAATCGCGAAAACCTAAGAACTCGATATATACATTATACTGATTATTTCTATAAGAAATTTCTTCCTGCAGACCTAAATACAGGACAAAATAATTTTAATAACGGGCTTACGTGCACAAAATATAAAATTATGTAATACAATATTTAACATTAAAGTATTATAAACTAGATAAATACATATTTTGAAACATAATACCTATAAACTGGATGGAACAGTAGATAAACAATGCTCCTTAACTCTCAATTTAAAAGTAGCAAACGATGTACCTTCGTGAACAGAAATAGGAAGAGCGTTCCAAAGTCTGACTGCATGAACAATGAAGGCGTGAGAATAAAAACCGGAATTGAAGGAAGGAAAAGATAACTGGGACCTAATCAGAGAGCGACAGGGTTTGTTCTGAGATCTGAGAAAGCTGAGAGGCTCTTTCAGATACTCGGGAGACGAAGGGTTATGAAGAATATTGTACAGAACAGAGACAATATGCAAATTCCTGCGAAAATGAATGGGTAGCCACTTGCGATAGTGTGAGATTCGGTCAAATTTACGAATGCCAACAATAAACCTGATACATAGATTTTGCTACCGTTCAAGCTTATTTAGCAAGTCTTCTGTAGCATCCAAATAGCAGGAATCAGCATAGTCTAAGAAGGGTAAAATAAGAGATTGGGCTAAATAGATCATGGTTGTAATTTATATTTATCTTTTGTTTATCATAATTTATTGTCGTAATCTGTTGTCTCCAGTCTCACCCTGAGCAAAGATGTTGTGCCAGCTTGTCTGCACATCGGTGACCAGGTGAAAGATGACCGAGCTATAGCCACTGGATGGGGAGCTACTGCGTATAGAAATCGGACATCTAACGCTGAGGTTTTGCAAAAGGTAAGAAAACATAGGAACACGTATTACGTATTCTTGGGGTTTTGTAATAGAATACTAGGAAGGAACACCGAGACTCTGCCACGGGTGGGGTTCTGGTAAAATAGGGAGTGTGCTGTACGTGCACCCGGTGGCAGCTCACCCAGGGCACTGGCCTTTTAAGAACCGGATGAAGTCCGTGCAACCGGGGGTCAGAATGTATAACCAAGAGCTTGATAGGGAGGATCACTGTAAACAAAATTATGTAGAAAAGATATGGGAATAAATCCTACCTACACCCACCTCCGTGACTGGGGGTCTACTCCCGTTTTATTCAAAAGATAATGTCAAATATGAAGCTTCATTTGAAAGTTTATGCCAATAACCCAATGCGGGTTGATGAATCAATATAGTGATGCGCGACTTTGAATGTTACTAATAGTAATCATTCGAATGGACAAATTATTCGCCCAAGCGAATGATTACTGATACCGACTACCCCTACCATGAGTAAGAGAGTGCTAGGTGATCTTTTGTTTATAATATCAAGTGACGGGATGAACAAGTCGTGGGAATGATGGTAAGCTACAAACTTGTCCATTACAATTGCAATGCCACACAGAGCGTTAAGTCGTAAAGATATGAGGGGCACTACCACAGCGCCCGTCACCCTGAGACAAAAGTTGACAAGCCCCATGTGCCTGTAACTTTATCAGCACCCTTAGCCTTCAAAACCGGAACGCAGTAATGCTAAATCTAAATCTAAAGTAATAATAACGATTCATCAAAATCAGTTCACAGGCTGCCATTGTTCACCATGGGGTACTGGCAGAAAACAAGCTCTGTGTGACTTTTCACGGTCTACAGTATTTATCCTAAGTCAGGGCCATTTCAGCACAAACTGTAGTCATACACCAAATTTTGTTAGTGCTCACAGTGTTTGTTTGTTTTTCGCACAATCTATGTTTTTTTTTACTTTGTGAAGTGATTGTAAATGCTTTTTCTGTTGGTATTTGTGCTGAATAAATGTGTTATCTATCTATCTATCAAATGCCAGAGTACTTTTTTATAATCCCAAGTGATGATATGAACAGGTCGTGCGCCTGTTGGTAAGCGACACGCCTGTCTATGACAGTTGTTGTGCCACTCAGAGCTTTAAATCGCAAAGATCTTATGGTCACTGCCACTGCGCCCGTCACCCTAAGTTGAGAAGTCCTATTTGCCTGTAATTTCACTAGCACCCTTACCCTTCCAAACCGGAACGCAGTAATGCTGACATTACTGCTTGGCGGCAGAAATAGGTAAGCTCTGAACGAACGCTTTCACAAAAAGCTCTCCTGTTACTAATAGCAGTACTAATAGGCAATGCCCCTCAGATCTTTACGATTTAAAGCTCTGTGTGACATTGCAATTGTTATGGACAGGTGTGTAACTTACCATCAGGCGCACGACTCGTACGTCCCGTCCCTCGTTATTATAAAAAATAAAAATAAAAAAGTCTGTGGCGGAGGGATTGGTCCTGACGCCCGCTTTACCCTGGTCTTGCCGGCTAGCCCGTAGTATCTCCGGAATACCCTATCTCTTGGGTCTAGACAGGGACAAATGTAGGTAGGATCACAAAAACGATATAATAAGCTAGTGCGTCTGTTCCAGGTGACTCTAACAAAGTTCGGCACAGAAGAATGTCTGCTCAAGTTCCGACGCCATCGTCATTTGCCTATTGGGTTTAACCCGAACACGCAGATTTGCTATGGCGATTATACTCAATCGAAAGATGCTTGTCAGGTAGGAAATTGTTCTTTGTTTTATATTTTGTTGAAGCGGAGAAACGAAACTCGAAACGTTGGTTTATTTTGATTGGAGTGTTTTGGTATCTAATCTTCTTAATCGCTTCCTCACTGCTGAGGATCGTGACTCCACTTCATCCTGCCAAGCATTTGCCTCCACCGGTTGCGCTCATGCGCCTGATGTAGTGCGGCGTTGACGGGTTGCTCCATCTTCCCTGTCACCATCAAACATCGAGTATATAACCAATAATCTCAGTACAGACTACTAAAAAAACCGACCTCAAAAGTACGTGGAATTACGTCTATTTGCTAAGTTTCATTGAAATATCCCCTAGTTCGCCACTATACAGGATTTGATACTGGAGATAATAAAAATAGGTTCTCACTACGACACTACTCAAAGTACATCGAGAGAAAAACGCCTTGAAATGGAGAAATAGCAAAATCAACTAAATAATTGCTAAAAGTAATTGCTCCTAAATTAAAGTTAGGCGCTATTTATAAAAATGAATATTCATGCGTGAACAGCCACCCTTAGAGGTGGATGATTTCCTTCAAAATGAAATGGTTCCACTATGGAAATACCCCCTTTCCAACAAAAAAGAATCATGAAAATCGGTTCACAAATACCGGAGTTATCGCGTAACATACATACAAAAAAAAAAAGAACATACAGTCGAATTGAGAACCTCCTCCTTTTTTGAAGTCGGTTAAAAATAGAGCCGAAATGTCTTTTAATTTGTTTGAAAACTAGTCTGCCTTATCATTAGTGTGACAATTGCGCTCCGATTGGCCAGCCCGAATTTGAAACAATTGACGGGTATTGTCAATTGTTTCACTTCAAATCGACCAGTTAACTTGAACTTTGCTATAATGGACGAAGATTGCAAAATTACATATTTCATATTTAATTACCGATGAAATTTGATTCCGTTTGTTTTGTAATTAGATGTTTTGCTGTTTTTCCCCACATCAGCGAATGGAACAGCACGCCATTGTTAGAGATATTATCTTTATTACAATAAATACAGAATATTTTCGGAATATACGGAGACGTATACACAGGTCAGTTGTTGGCGCTGTACTATTTCAGCTTTCTAATTTGTAATTTCAGTGCAAACGAGAGTTGATATGTATCACTGATGTTACCAGTTACCAGGAATGCATGACCTTTATGTCGTCTCTATGTCTGGTTATATACTCAATGCCATCAAACGTTCCAGGTTATCAGCATCTCTACATAGCACGTGATCAAAATATCGTATCACATCACACTGTTTCGGTATCTAATATTTGGTATTTAATTGTTAACCGACTTCGAAAGAGGAGGAGGTTCTCAATTCGACTGTTTTTTTTGTGTGTATGTTACGAGATTTGTGTACCGATTTTGGCGGTTATTTTTTGTTAGAAAGTGTGTACCTCAATATTGGTCCCAATTATTTTATAAAAATAAACATGGACAAGACGAAACTTATGTCGAATGTCCATATCGTACCCACCTCTATAACAGTGGGAACCTCTACTCTCGAATTTGTTGACGAGTATGTCTATCTCGGACAAACCGTCCAATTAGGCACGGCGAACTTCGAGAAAGAGGCCAATCGTCGCATCCGACGCTATTGGGCAGCTTTCGGAAAGCTCCGGGACGTCTTTTCATCCGCAATACCGCAAGTCCTTGAAGACAAAAGTCTTCGAGCAGTGCGTATTCCCAGAGATAACCTACGGCTCTGAGACGTGGTCACTTACTATGGGCCTCATAAAAAAGCTCAAAGTGACTCAACGAGCTATGGAGCGAGCATTACTCCGCATTTCTCTACGTGATCCAATCAGAAATGAGGAGATCAAAGTCAAAGTCAAAGTCAAAGTATTTATTGCTTTCATGTGTTACAAATGATCTTAAAGCTAAAGTAGTATCAACATGACCCTGTTAGGGCGCCGCAATTTAACCATATGTACTTAAACAATATCTTTTCTTTTCTAAATTAAAAAAAAACATTACCTAAAGTTACTTTTAAAGACTAGATTATAAATCAAATTAACAGCAAGTAAATTGAAAATATATAGCTGACATTTCACAAATTTCTTCCTCTCAGTAGGTGCAAATGGGATTAAATTATTACAATCATTCTTCAAAATATTGTTTCAAGCAATAGTAACATTTTTCTATTAAATGAGCCTTAAGTTGCTTGATTAATAAATTATATTTAGTTTGTGATGAAATCTCCTTTGGAATTTTGTTGTAAACTTTAATGGCCATTAGGGTCCTTGATTATACATTTGTAATTTCGACCTAGGTAGTGCCAATCTATTTTTATACCTGAGGTTCAATAATAATAATAATAATAACGCTCACAATCAACATAGCCCCGCACTAGGGAAACCCTGTGTCGCGGGTGCCATGGACACACACATAGACAACCACAAATTACACCCAAACTCACGAGAGAAATAAATGTAGGCCATACAAATATTTCTCCCGGTCCGGGAATCGAACCTGGGACCTCTGCGTGGCAGTCCGGCATGGTAACCGTTCGGCCACGGAGGCAGTTTGGGTGTCTGTCAATGGTCGGGTGTAGTACGTGTCCTTTACTTCAGTGAAATATTGACAATTTTTTTTAACAAATTTACACATTTCTAAAATGTATAAAGACGGTATTGTCAGAATTTTTAATTTTATGAAGTAAGGTTTACAACTTTCCTTCGGGTCGATATTCACTAGTAAGATCCGTAGAAGATCGAAAGTCACCTACTTAATCCGAAGAATTAGCACGTTGAAGCGGCAGTGGGCAGGGCACATAACTCGTAGAACTGACGGCCGTTAGGGCAGAAAGGTTCTCGAATGGAGAATGCCCCTACTAGATGGACGGATGTCCTGGTAAGGGCGGCGGGTAACCAATAGATGCACGTCGCGTCCTATCGACTGCTCTGGAAATCTTCGGGGGCTATGTTCAGCAGTGGACGTCTTCTGGCTGATATGATGATGATAATTTTATTATAATTTGAAGAAAATATTCCACCTGTAAGGGTGACAAACTAGGGGATGAATCCGGCTTCGCGTACTTTCCGGCAACCGATTTCTAAAACTTGGCAAATGAATGTAAATCCACGAGCTTTTGAGGTCGTTTTTTTTTATAAAAACGTTATATTTCTTTCAACAGGGTGACAGCGGCGGGCCTCTACAAATAAAGAGCAAAAGACTCGATTGTATGTACATTATTGTTGGTGTCACATCAATCGGAGGAGTTTGCGGTACTGTGGGACAACCTGGGATCTATACGAAAGTTGCACCATTCACTCCTTGGATTGAAAGCATAGTTTGGCCTTAAAGTTGTGTTTTTTTATTATACCACGTAGAGATAATATGAGACATTAATGTTAACGCCAGAATAGAGCGGCTTTAGAATTACGTTGAATTAGAAAGTGGTCTGATTTTGGAATGTGTAATAAATTAATATTATGAATGAAGGGTTGTGACATACTCGTATACGTTGACTTGGAATGCGGTCTGACTTTGAAATGCATTTTTTAATACAGTTGCTCAAAACGTGGTATTTTTCGCACTACAAATCGTGCGGAAAGTTGGATTTCTCGCACTAGTGCTTTTTACTTTTCCAGTTTTTTTTAATTTACTGTTGTTTTAAGTCTTAAACATAGAACTAAAGAGATTGTATATTTATTTCATATTTATGTGCTTTGTGACGTAAGTCATTCATCATTAAAACTTATATTTATTTACAAATACTATATAATGAACGTATCGAGTGGAGGTCCACAGTCTCTGCCTACCCCTGAATGGGTGACAGGCGAGATTTTTATGTATATATTTGTTCTATGTATTACAGATAAATTGTATCTCACTACCGTGCACGGGTTCCTAAAGAAGTTTAAACAAAAGTACCAGGACTTCATAATAAGAAAAGTGGTTACAGACCGATATTACAGAAAATAAACAAAAACAGCACGTTAGAACTAGATTTCCATAGACTTTTAACTAATGGTTGCAGTGGTTGTATTTCATTATTTTAATTTACTAGCAGAAAATGAGTTTTGTTTGAATACTGTTTTATTTTACTTTCAATGTAGTTTTTTCGCAAATGTTTTAAAAAACGTCGTTTGATACACGTGCGGATTTGTCATTTTCACTTGTCTCGCGTCTTGACCCTCGCCTCTGGCTCGGGCCAAGAAGCCTCGAGACTCGTGAATAATGACTAACTCTCCGCACTTGTATCAAAAATAACTATTAATAGGAATGTAGGAAAGTGAAGGTAGGGAAACAATTATGTACTATGAGTTAGAATGTTGTGTGCATATTGTATGTTAATATTAATGAAGAGTTACGTGACGTGCATGCGTGGATTTGGAAGTGTATTCTGGCCTTAGATTAAAACACTCCCTTATTTTGACTTTCTCGTAGTCAGTAATAATGAGATTAAAATGTGAAGAATGGATATACAATGTATACGTATAAATTACTCGTTTTTTTTATTAATATAAATTAATGTACTCATAAAAAAGTGTTATCAAATCATTGACTTACAAATAAATGGACGACGGGTCTAATACAAAAACCAAGAAAAAAATGTCCCAAGTCAACCTATTTAAACGTAGTGACATGTAAAGGAATATGAAAAAGCTAAAACGTTGAATTTAAATTGTAATGTCATCGCAGTACTGTCTAATTTTGCTTGCTTCGCTGTCAGTCGAACAAACGAAGACTAAAGCGTGAATGACGCTCTGTATACGATTTTAACGCCCTATAAGTTCGGACACTTTTTAGCGCGGACCCGACGTCCATATAATTGTAAGTCAATGTATCGAATAATAAAATTAATTTTATACAAAAAATACTTGTTTGTTTTACAAGATTGCGCGATACAGTGGTTTAGATGTAGAAATTATTTATTTATTTAAAGATACAAAATCTACTTAACACAAACAATCTTAGAAATAAATATACATACGTTCACCATACAAGGTGCCAAATCGCTACAGATGTCTACAGCACTAAACATTTAGAGTAAGCCAATGAGATACAAAAATAATAATAACAATAAAAAAACACTTAAAAATGTGAAATTACAGCAATAATTTGATTTAAGATTGAAACAATTGCTTGCACATGCAAATAAGTTGTTCAGTGTTCCCTACATGAAAGATACTATGTCACTGTCTCCGGTCGTAGTAACACGTGGTCTACAATTTTGTAATATGACTTCAATTAAAATACTTTTAATGTAGATTTTTAACTGCCTCCGTGGCCGAACGGTTACCATGCCGGACTGCCACGCAGAGGTCCCAGGTTCGATTCCCGGGCCGAGAGAAATAGTTGTATGGCCTACAATTATTTCTCTCGTGAGTTTGGGTGTAATTTGTGGTTGTCTATGTGTGTGTCCATGGCACCCGCGACACAGGGTTTCCCTAGTGCGGGGCTATGTTGAGTGTGTGCGTTATTTAAAAAAAAAAAAAAAAAAAATTTTAAACTTAGGAAATGATAATCTTAATATATTCTCCGGAATCTGGAATTGTAAAAACGTATACAGTTCCCCACAAAAGAATCGCTTACCTTAGTTAAACGAAATCGTGGTACCATGAGTTTGGACTTAGTTCTGAGGTTAATATTATGGATATTTTTTTATTTTTACGGGCATACAAAATATTTGAGTAAATGTACCTACTGTAATGCCACAGTCATGATACCAGTCTCATTAAAGTTTTCTCTGAGAGAAACCCGAGAGCCTTGACGGTACACAGAACGAATCGCTTGTTTTTGCAACACAAATATGGTTTGTTTATCTGCCGCTTTACCCCACATGAGAATCCCGTAGGACATTAAGTAACTAAAGTAAAACTAGCAGAAGCAACATCGGTAAGCTCACGTATTCGACATCCGAAGGATCCTTACCTTCCATAAATAAATATGCAATAACCTGTGAAGTTTGTGTAATGTAGATTAATAATATTAATAAATCATCTCCGCGACATACCGGTTAGCCTGACATGCCGTCTCCAGCTTCACGGGTACAGTGCGGCTGTGCGGACGCAAACATTTTATAAAATATATTTTTGTTTATTAGGTTGTTAAATTAACTATTTGAAATAACAAGAAAAGAAATGTCTTTTAAAATTGTGTTTGTGTGTTTGTGTTTCGCTTACGTGGCTTCGCAAGGTTATTATATTGATTTATTATTCATAATCTATACCACATTTTTTTGATACGCAACATTACTGTCGTCCGCTAATTAGAACGTGGCCAAGTGAGGAAGTAATTTTTGGATATTTATACAAAAACTATAACCCAGTTTTTAACCAACTTCAAAAAAAGGAGGAAGTTCTCAATTCGGCTGTATGTTTTTTTTGTATGTATGTTACGCGATAACTCCGGTATTTGTGAACCAATTTACATGATTCTTTTTTTGTTGGAAAGAGGGTACCTCCATAGTGGTCTTAATTTTGAAGTAATTCATCCGCCTCTAAGGATGGCTGTTCACGCATGAAGATTCATTTTTGTAAACAGCGCCTAAATTTTAGTATAATGAGCAATTATTTTAATGGTTATACGTTTGATTGCTGCTTTGTTTTGGGATCGTACCTATAATATAAATCCATGTTTCGTCACCTGTTACTAAGTTCCACACCAAATTTGACGTCCCTTCGTTAAATCTGGTAAGCATGGCATTGCACCAAGTGACGCGATCCGTTTTTTGAGCCTTAGTCAAATTGTCTGGGATCCACCGAGAGCACAGCTTTTTCACACCCAAATGTTTATGTGGTATTGATCGTATTTGACTCATGCCTATGCCTATAGATGCCAGCCAAAGAGTTCCATTTCCAAATGTTGTAATTACTTTTTAAATATTGTTTATGTAAGTGACCAGTTCCGGAAACTTATAATGCGCCATATGTATTCTACTCGAGTTTGCTCGAGTTCATGAAAAAGTAACTCGAGTTGACTCATTGTAAGAGTAACTGGAGTTTATCGTGTTAAATAACTCGGCTCACCCATCGCTACTGCAAAGACAGGATTCCCACAAAATAAAAATAACACGATTTGTCGTGACCAGGGAAAACAATACATAGTTTATATAGGCTTTAAAAAAAAGAAGTGTATAAGTATAGGAAATGAAACAATGTGCAATATAATGATTAATAACAAAGGTCGAACACTTAGAAAAATTCATTCTATCCGGCTGGAATCGCACCAACACAATCAGGCAATTCGTGCCGGACGCTCTGCCAATTATACCACGGAACTAACCAACAGACTTTACGAATTTTTCTACGTGCTACTTACAGATCTTAATTTAATTGTTCGTATTAATTTATAGCGCGCGGGTTGCCGGACGCGAGTGGAGGGCGATCCCCCACATCAACGACAAGGTATTATTTATTTTTAACCGACTTTGAAAAAAGAATGAGATACTCAATTCGACTTTATTTTTTTGTATGTTACGATTATTGTGAACCGATTTTGATGATTATTTTTGTTGGAAAGAGGGTAACTCAGTATTGGTCCCATTTAAATTAAGATTGCACCTGTAAGAGTGGCAAACTAGGGGTTGAATCCGGTTTCGCACAGTTTGGTCCCATTTAAATTAAGGTAATATTTCACCTCTAAGAGTGGCAAAGTAGGGGTCGTATTCTAGACTCTACTCAACGCTCAAGTCAGGATTTGAGTATGGTTTAAAGCACTTGATATCATACTCAAATCCCTGCCATTAGGGTCGTATTTCCAGTGCTTGTATTTCCAGTGCAATCCTGACTTGAGCATTGAGTAGAGTTCTAGAATACGACCCTAGGAGTTGAATGCAGTTTCGCAAACTTTCCGGTATCCAATTTCAATACAATTTTGAAAAAAGATTCCACGACTCTTTTAGGTCGTTTTTTTTAGTACACGGTACAGAGATCATTTATGTAACTCCAAGTGACGATGACGGGACGAATAAGTCGTGCGCCTGTTGGTAAGCGACACGCCTGTCTATTACAGTTGTTGTGCCACTCAGAGCTTTAAATCGCAAAGATCTTATGGTCACTGCCACTGCGCCCGTCACCTTAAGTTGAAAAGTCCTATTTGCCCGTAATTTCACCAGCACCCTTACCCTTCCAAACCGGAACGCAGTAATGCTGACATTACTGCTTGGCGGCAGAAATAGGTAAGGTGGCAGTACTTCCCTAGACAACCCCTTTCACACGGAGCTCTACTGTTAAAATGTGATTTGTAGTTGTCTTTGTGTACTCGTACGTCCATGACAACCGAGGGTTTCCCTATTGCAGGGCTATTAAAAAATTGTTCTATATGATGTTAGTAATAATGTCCTAGGAGGTTGTTAATATTTATAAATAGCCTTGTACTTTTGCAATGGTACCGGTTAGACGAGTTGTAGCATTTTGCAAAATATTTGAGGAGGAAATAGATACTACAACGTTTTTCCTCAATCAACCCGCTGAGGCCAGTTATTCTCGTTCAATTGGCCGTT